TTTTAAGAGTTGTCTTATTTTGTTTCCCACCCTTTGAAGTATTTCAAGGTCATAGAATTTAGTTGGGAGTTCTGGAAGACGTACCCATAGTGCAACATATGTTAGTTGTGTGCTTGAAGCAATGAATTTAGGCTCGCTACGTCGGACAGAGAGAAAATGATTTAAAATGTACCAAGGTCCTTGGTGTAAAGCTTTGAACATATTTTCCTCATAATGAAACTTAATAAGGAAAAAATTTGACCCCAGGTCTATGAGAGGAAGTTCCTTAGTAGGTTTTCATAAGTTAGTAAGTTTGGTTTTTAATAATTGATGACCCAATGTCTTACCAAAAACCTTGACTATGACTGAGTTTTTCCAGGGAGAGTATAGACGAGATTTATCATTTTTTGTTAATGGGATGAAGGTGTCTAATTCGTCTGAGTTAGAAATTTCATTTGTAAGATCTATTTTATCATGTATCGGTTGTGAGGTTGATGTGTACGCAGGGATATTTGAATTGGAAGTAAGTGTATGTAGGTATGATTTTAGTGGTGATTAGGAGTTAGAGCTGTCTATTTGCATAGTATGAGGATTTGGTGGGTCCGTTGATGGAAGAGGATAGACAGGATGATGAGTAGACATCGTTAGTTACGGTTCATTGATTGTTGATCGTAAAAACGAGGCGAGGTGGAAGATGTAGGTAGTCAGAAAGTTAGAGAGAATGAAGAGAAACATTTTATCCGGCGACATTTCTAGTCTAGGTGAAAACAATTACAAGATCCCATATGCTTATTGAATGGGACCTTATTTCTTATGAACTTTTTGAGGTTCGCATTGTTTAACATAAACCTTTTATAGTGTAATTAAATATTTATACCATTAGTGTAATTCAACATGTTAATGAAGATTACTTGTCTTATTCTTTAGATTACTAATTTAACCTCTTATTATGAGTAGTTATATGTAATTATTTTTAAATGACATGATATAATTAAAAAATATTTACACAATCAAAGTAAAAAATTCAATGTTTTTTCGAAGCATTTCCTTCACATTACACTTATTAAATGCCTTACTACTCTTGAACAGTCCTCTAAGAGAACTTACAAAGGAGAATATTTTTTTTATACTAGTCTTAGGGTACGCGCATTGCGCGTGTACCTTATCAATAAAAATAAAAATTTAAAAAATCACACATAATATCTTTGAGTTGTAAACTGAAAATTAAAGAAAAAAAGTGTGAGTCGAAAGCGATGAATATTCTTTTTCACTTACTAATAAAGGAAGAACCTTTGTCTCGCATAAGTCTTCCGATGGATTAAGTGCCAAAATTCCTTTTATTTTATTATTCGAACATATTGATCAGTTTCGTGAAGAAAAGATTTTATATGTGAGTAATCAAAATTTTTGAACTCGATTTTCATTTTTTCTAGAAAAAAAAACGCCAATAAGAATAACAATTTTCTACTTTTCTTCCTTTCCTTCAACCATCATACAAAAATTTTCATAACATCTTTTTAAAATATATTTCAAATAGTTCTATAATATTTATTGTCTCTTGTTTTTATAGATAACAATAATAATTTTCAGACTGAGCATAGATTTGGCGTAGAAGTGGTTTACATTGTTCTTTGAAACAAAAAATATATAATTTATGTTTAAGAAATGTAATTTTTTACAAAATTTTATTTTATAATTCATACATGTTTGATACAACAATATTTATTTATTTGTGTGATTTTTGAAAAGTTTATACTTATTGATACAGGGAACACGTACAATAACTTAAGCAAAAAGAACGAAGTAGAACTACTTAATTATAAAGTCCAAATCAAGCACCATAAAAGAAATTCTGGTCCTAAACTATACATGATTAAATAACTAAATTATTAAACGACAGAAAATCAAGAATCAAGAAGCCGGTATGTACAAAAATCACAAGCTCAAAGTCGTTGGTTATGCATCTCTTTTTGTTTTATCACTATTTAATAAGAACCCAACCTTACAATTTTATTTGAAAAAAGTACATATAAATATAACATTAGTATTTATTGTCCTAAAAAGACTCAGTTTATGAGGTCAAATTTTGAGAAGATTATCTGTGTGATAAATGAGTAACCTCGTCATAATATTTACGCCCTTACAATGAACAGCCAAAGTGATATGAAATCCTCAACCCAAAAAAGTTCATTTGAAAAGAATATTGATTCTAATGTTGAAGATAAAAAAATATCAAGAATAAATGGAATAGTACTAATAATGCATCAATCATCACCGTGTTTATCAGGAATCTAATTCCATCAAGAAAATCAAAATTTAATGAAATACATAATATACGCACGATTAAAGATAATAAAATATGCAAATATATAAGCATACATGCAATAAGAATATGAATAACAACTTACTGCTTTGGTTGAAAACACCATAGGCTTTTCTAATAGATATACTAAAGCGAGATTCCTGCACAAATTTTATAGCTTTAGAAGACAGGAAATTCATGTAGTACTCTAGAAAAAATATTCGAAGCTCTACAAGATGATATCCCAACGTCATATTGAATGTTGGATATTTTGTCAAAAAAAAAAATGCTTCAACCAATTATGGATTCAACAACCTCTCTACCCGTAGAACTAAAAAGATAATAAGGTAAAACATAAATAATTCTTGTAAACCCGAGTTCTTTTGTTTTAATTTAGGAGAAATAACATGGAAGGTATATATTATAGTTATATTACATATTTCAAATAAGGAAAGATTTTATACAAGATAAAGAATCTTAATTGAATTCAAACTCCTAAATATTTAGAACTTCTTACATAGTTCAAATAAAAAAAAATTAATAATCAAAATATTTGTTGATTTTAAAGTCATAAATATTATAAAAAAAATTAAATGCTAATTTTGTTTGATATAATTTATTTTTTGAAAGGTAAAAAGAAGTTGTCCAATTTATTTACTTGTTGATAAAAGTCCTTAGTTTGAATCAGTAACGGTATCTTTTTTACTTAAACTTTTTGTGTGGAACTTATTGAAATTGTCTAAAAGCTACTTAGTTTGCATATTAAAACCGTCTAAAAGCTTTTTAGTTTATTGTACTTATTTGTATTAAAAGTATGAAAATATAATAACTCAAAAGGCGTTAGTCCAAAGTAATATAACGGAAGAATTAATAATATTTGTATATTATAGAACAAAAATAATACTCTTGGCTCAAAAAATAATAAAGAAAAATCTAAATAGATTGTGTTTTTTCCCCCTTACCTGTTTCCCATTTCTGCTCCTAATAGATTGTAATGTCCAAAAATTTAGGACTTCCAACGCATTTCGTTTAAATAAGGAATATTTTTAATAATAAAATATATAGTAGCTTTCAAGATCTAAATATTAAAAAATATAATTATATGACAGTTTTGTCCAATATAAAATCAAATTTTAAGAGTAAAAAAAACAAACGACATTTCGCTAAAGGCCTTCGTGCTTTTAATATAAATATAGATATACATCATACCAACACACAATGTTTAATACAAGGACATATTCAAATTAAAGGCCATCTGCCACAGTGAAGGAAAGCAACTATTTCACTTAAGTATATGAACTAGTTTCATTTTCTAATCTTCTTTTCACTTGATTATAAATTCTTAGGTTTAAAAGACAAAATGATAGTTTCTTGGCTCATCAGTAAGCCTAAATTAACTTTCATATTTTGTTCAAATGAACGACGTTTGGTAGTCTAAGTTCCTGCAGTTACCTCTTCAAGAAAAGATCCTATTAATTCGGTTAAAGATCTACTTTTTCTATTTTAGAATTCGAAGAAAATGTTGCAACCCGTGTAAACTTGTACAAAATCAGACAATAAGAGTGCTGAAAAACATATTAAATGTGAAAATTTGGTCCCTTTCTTTATTAAATAATGACTGTTGGGACGAAATTGAGCCCTTTCTTTGAGATTTCTTGGTTTTTCTACTCGTTTCACAATCACAATCCATGTTCAAAGGTGGACATATGGACTAATTGAGATAAGCCCTAAATCATCCAATAGAGAGAGGAGTGTGGCCTCTGAACGTTTTTTTTTTTGGTAAAACAAATTAGGTGGAAATGATATCACGAAGTCATTTTTTAGCATATCTTTTAAAATACATTCACAGTTTATAATGTATTTAAAAATTAGTAAATTCATTCAAACTTCATCGTGTCCTAAAGTTCGAAAATTGCATCCAAAAATTCGAATCTTATGACTTGAATTTTAAATTAGCCGTTCAAAAAATTCAGGACTAAGATTTCAAATTAGCGGTTCAGAAATTCCTGACACTTAGTCCTGAATTTCAAATTAGAAGCTCAAACATTTAGAATACTAAGTCCTGAATTTCAAATTAGCAGCTCAAAAATTCATTTTGATATTTAGTCCTAAAGTTTGGGTGAATTGACTAATATTTAAATGAATTATAAATTATGAATATATTTTAAATAGTAGGCTTAAAAATGGCTATTGGTACACTTCGTCCCAAAAATTAGGTAAAGTGGGTCGAATCATGGTCTAACCGGTTGTTTTTTATTTTTTTAATGGTTGGATTGAAAAAAAATATGAAAGTAATATTTTAATATGCCTTAAAAGTGTAGAGTGAATTTTGAGTTACAATGGCCAAAATATAATAGACTTTCTAGTTATAAAACAAAATAAAGTGACTTTGTGATGAATTCACCATTGACATGGAGCTAGAGAGAAGAAATCAGTGTCGAAGAGAGAAGAGAAGAAGCAGTTGAGAGAAAATTTTATTTTGTTATGTTCTATACAGTGCAAATGGAAGGCTACTGTGTACATTTATACAACTAATCTAACCGACTAATTATGACTGTTGTACTAACTCTACTAATAACTATCATTCTAACTATGGTTAAGTTATGTTCAGAAGTTCTAGCTTGGACATCAAATATTCATGTTGAGGTCGACCAAGCCCCTTAGTAAGAAGGTCAACCTCTTGCTCTGTTGTAGCACAGTAAAGAGTGGAAATGAGGCACTATTGAATCTTCTCACGGATGAAATGGCAATCAATATCAATATGCTTCGTGTGTTTATGAAAAACAGGATTGGCAGCAATGGCAAGAGCTGACTTGCTATCACAGTAGATAGGCACAGGAGACTGATGCTCGAGCCCCAGCTCCTTGAGTAAACCAAGAATCCACACAACCTCAGCGACAGTTGAAGCGAGGCTGCGATATTCTGCTTCAGCTGAGCTTCTAGAAATGGTAGATTTCTTTTTAGATTTCCAAGAGATCAAGGAAGTACCAAGCTTAACAAAATATCCTGTAACTGACTTGCGCGTATTAGGACATGCAACCCAATCTGCATCGCAAAATGCTGAAAGTGACTCAGAACAATGGGCAGTAAAGAAGAGCCCTAATCCTAGACTAGTCTTGATATATCTGACCACCCTGAGAACAGCTTCCATATGAGAAACTTTAGGACTGTGTATAAATTGGCTGAGACTCTGAACAGCAAAAGAAATGTATGGCCCTGTGATGGTCAGATAAAGCAACTTCCCCAAGAGCCTTTGATACGGGACAGGATCAGCCAGCAAAACATCAGCAGAGGATCATGTATGAGCATCAAATTCAGCAGTGATTAGCTTGAGATTGGGTTCTATGGGGCAGTCCACAGGTTTGGAACCTGAGAGTCTCAACTCAACAATAAACTCCATAGTGTCACACCTCATTTTTTCCGGGGGATAGGGGATAGGGGAGTTTTTTCAATTAAAGTGACATTAATCGAAATGGGATTATTTATTTATTCAGAGTCGCCACTTGGAATAATTTATGGTGTCCCAAGTCACCGGTGTATTTTAAATCCCAAATCGAGAAAATTGACTCTATTATTACGGTCTGCGAATACAAAAGACCGGGTAAGGAATTCTGTTAATCCGGGAGAAGGTGTGAGGCACTCCCGAGTTCTGTGGTTTTAGCACGGTCGCTCAACTATTAATGATTGGCCTAATTATCTGATTTATTACATATTTGAAACCTACTGTGCATTTTTACTTTTAAAAACCGCTTTTAGTATTTATGGAATTCATTTGAACAAGTCGCGATGTAGCACACTCGTTTGTTTTTGTACACATTGTGAATCGCGTCACGTGAAATGCACCCGCGACTTACAACATGTTTATTTTTATTATTATTAGAAGATGTGGTCGGGTCACATGAAATGCACACCCGAATAAAATTTACGTATCGTGACCATGCCACGGGAACCGTACCCATAGTCACGATGAGTTATTATTAATCGCGCTTAAAGCAACTAACACGTGTTCATAATTTGTTTAATTGCTTCCTAACACTTTAGGCAATTTGCCACTTATTTATGGAAGGACTCATAAGACTACATAATATGCAAACACACGCAGCTGCTCCCTTTTGAGCATTTATGAGATATGCAGACACTTCAATGCTTACTAGAATAGGATATTTATGTTAATTTAGCTTAAGATTTTTGTTCAATTGTTTTCAAAAATATTTTAAACCCACTGAAATACGTGTAGTAAAAATATAAGCAATATTCAAAAGGTATCTTATACCTCTTGTCTCAATTGAAAGTGTTGATTTTTAAATATTTGAGGGAAAGAAAGTTATATTATGCTCCACAAAACCTTCTATAATCAAAATGCAGAAAAGCAAATAAAAAGGGCAAAACGAGAAACCTGTACATTTTATACTCTAACACAGAGACATAATATAAAAAATGAAAACAGAGCACTAAAATTAGTACTGAAAAAAAAAATCTAACTAGTAAATTCAAGCGTACTAACGTATCTGAAAACGTTCTTTCAATATTAATGGGATAAAACTCCAAATCAAAGAAATTCGAACAGAATAACTGACCGATGGATCAATCAAAGCTTAGAAATCGGCAATAAAATTTTATCCGAAAAAGGGACCACGACCTGAGCTCTGGCAACCTCAACTGAAGGAAGCTTCTCAACAACGAACTCGACGACGACTTCGAGTTTTGGACGATTACTGACCCCTCAAATAACTTCCATTCCCACAGTAGGAGAAAATATTTCTATGGATGAAACGGAGTTTTGTTTGCCGACGAAAAATAGAGGTGGACGGTGGTGGTTTGACGGAGTTAGGCCGGTGATTTTGGAGCTAGTTTTCACTAGTTTTTGGTGGAGTTTAAAGGTTGCTTCAATGGAGGAAAAAGAGTAGATTTCATGGCTGTTTTTGATGGCTAGAAATGGAGTGTGATGGCTGCATTTTTTACTCAGTTTATGGCAAAATTTTCATGGCCCTTCTATATGGAGCTCACGGCAGAGAGAAGAAAACGGAATTATAGAGAAGAGGAGGATCGTTTGTTTTTTGCCTCTTTTTTTTTTGCCTTTTTTGCGGCTGCCGCTCGTTCTCTCTTCTGAAAGAGAGTAACGATGGAGATCAATTATTTTTGTTTTTTAGCGTCCGCGCCTCTCCCTTAGCTTAGGGATTTTGGAATTAGGTTAGGTCTAATATCAAATGGGGAGTGGGTATGGGTTTGAGGGAGGGGTGGGCTGCCGGAATTTGGGCACAAGTTTGGACCAAATTTGCCTTTAAAAGTGGCCCTTTAATTCTACAAAGCTAAAATATTAATTTTGTTACCTAAAATATCATACCATAAAAATGTAAAATCAATCCTAATTAATTAAAACATCTATATTATGACATGAAACTATTTTTTGGTATTTTCAAGGATTATACTAAAATAAAAATGGGTTAAAAGTGATATCTTTCTAAAAATACCTAATACCTGTATTAAATAGAAAAATGAAATTATTTTTGTATTTTCAAACGTATGTTTTAAAATTAAAACTAAAAGTTGACTGAAATCCAATTAAAAATAAAAATAAACAAATATTTTTGAAATATTGCTCTTAAAAGTTGCGCGGGTCAAAAATTACATGCTTACAGCTGCCCCTCTTTGCTTGGAAACACGAAAAGTTTTCGGAGCAAAGAACAATAAGCAACGTAATTGATTTATGACCCGACGCTTATTCAAAACCAAATAAAGACGGACAAAAGATTGTGACCGAGCCCTTGTATTTGAGCTGCCTATATATCTTTGGCTTTAAAGGAATCAGGTCACGTGTAGTTCAGAGGCAAATGAAGTGATGGAGTGTGTGGAGAGGATGAGAGAGTCGAGTGAGGTTCCGTCGAGGTTCCGGTCCGCGGTCCCTGCCATTACATCAAAAATTGAAAGCAAAAATTACAGCAAAAATAAAAGAAAAATACAAGATCATATCTACTTCTTGTCTTGAATCTTCCTTGAATCTCCACTTGATCCTTCAGCTTGAAATTGAAAATTCACCCTATTCTTCAGGTGGGCATCCTGCTAACTTGAATTTGAAAAAAAAACTTGACCATGTTCTTCAGGCTGGCATCCTGCTGTTTGCACTTGAAATAAACTTGAACTTTGAGTAGACTTGAACTTGCAAACCTTGTTCTTCAGGCGGCTCGTGCTACTTCTGATTTGAATTGAAAAGACTGGAGGTTACCCCTTCTTCAGGAGGGATCCTGCTATCTCTGACTTGAACTTGAAAACTGAAAGTTGACCCTATTATTCAGGCAGGCTCCTGATGCCTCTCTGACTTGAACTTGAAAATTGAAAGTTGACCCTATTCTTCAGGCGGGCTCCTGATGCCTCTCTAACTTGAACTTGAAAATTGAAAGTTGACCTCATTCTTCAGGCGGGCTCCTGAAGCCTCTTTAACTTGAATTTAAAAATTAAAAGTTGACCGTGTTCTTCAGGCGGGCTCCTGATGCCTCTTGAAAATTAAAAATTGACCTTGTTCTTCAGGCGGCTCCTGATACCTCTTTAACTTGAATTTAGAAATTAAAAATTGACCTTGTTCTTCAGGCGGCTCCTGATACCTCTTTAACTTGAATTTAGAAATTAAAAATTGACCTTGTTCTTCAGGCGGCTCCTGATACCTCTTTAACTTGAATTTAGAAATTAAAAATTGACCTTGTTCTTCAGGCGGCTCCTGATACCTCTTTAACTTGAATTTAGAAATTAAAAATTGACCTTGTTCTTCAGGCGGCTCCTGATACCTCTTTAACTTGAATTTAGAAATTAAAAATTGACCTTGTTCTTCAGGCGGCTCCTGATACCTCTTTAACTTGAATTTAGAAATTAAAAATTGACCTTGTTCTTCAGGCGGCTCCTGATACCTCTTTAACTTGAATTTAGAAATTAAAAATTGACCTTGTTCTTCAGGCGGGCTCCTGATGCCTCTTTAACTTGAATTTAGAAATTAAAAATTGACCTTGTTCTTCAGGCGGGCTGCTGATGCTTCTTGAACTTGAATTTAAAAATTGAATGTTGACCATGTTCTTCAGGCGGGCTCCTGATGCCTCTTGAACTTGAAAATTAACCTTGTTCTTCAGGCGGGATTCTGATGCCTCTCTAACTTGAACTTGAAAATTGAAAGTTGACCCTATTCTTCAGGTGGGCTCCTGATGCTTCTCTGATTTGAACTTAAAATCGATTTCTGAAATATTGACCCTCGTTCTCCAGGTGGGTGCCTGCAATAAAAATAAAAATAAAAAAAAACTTTCTGCCCCAGTTTGCACTTCTCAAACAGCCTTTGTGCTGACAAAATCTGGGCACGACACCCGAAAGTTTCAAGCTTTCGAGCTTTGATTTGGACATAGTCTTCGTCCCTGTTTCAAACAAAGAAAACTTGTAAGTTTAAAACATGGTGGTTGGTTTGTGGCCTTGATCGTGAGGGTGATTGCTCCTACACTTGCCATGATAACTTTGATTTCAACTTGAAAGACCTTGATTGTTATTGACTAACCACTTTATCTGCCAACCCTTGCCACAGAAAATACCGCTGATCCGTTCAGAACCAATACCTTCTATCTCTTGCATTGTGCTCATGAATTGACATTTACCGAACCTTTACATTTCACATGAATTTCGAAGCACGTCAATTATCGCCAACTCAGTGCGCATACTGCTCTTTTCTGACTTATGCCACTTTGATGTGCTAGCCAAAACACCACTTTGTGAAATCGGAAAGCTGGTAGAAAATTTTGAAGTCATTTCTCACTTGTTCTGACAAAACAGACTCAAGAGGACTTAACAAAGCAAGAAAAACACAGAAAGGAGACAATGGAAAAAGATGACATCTAACAAGAAAATTACCAAGTAGAAGCCTATCAAATGTGGATACCAACTCTAATGTCCATGACATGCATTTTGGATTAAGTGGCATGATCTGTCACGCAAGTCTGATCTTCAAATCTTGTTGTACCTCTAAGCCGTGAAACTGGGCTTCAATACTCTAATTATCCTGTTTGATTCACGATCCTTATTCGACTTGTAGTGCCCGAAGGGTTTTCACCATCAAGCTTCTCTCATTTTGCTCTTTCTCTCAACTCACCGTCGTCTTATAGTGCCCGTGAGGGTTTTCACCAATAAGACTCTCTCATCTTGTTCTTTTCTTCTTATCTTCTTCGATTCTGCAGATGGCAAGGCATTGACCATAGTACAAACATTATATGCTCCTAGCATGTCTATCTCGGCACTCTCAAAGATTATCTGGGAGGTCTTTTTTTTTAGACTGTAACATGGCTTTTGAATGGGGTTAGAAAGAAAGAATATCATGAAGGCTCAAAATAATTAAAAGAATAGGGTTAATTTATTTACAACTTTTGGAATCCATTTTAAACTTTGCCCCAA